GGTTGCTTCAAAGGTTTACGGTCTATATAAATTTGAAAGATATGCACGGAAATTCCTTACCGCCCAGACGATGGCCAAAAAATGCTTTTCAATCGTCGAATATCTTTTTTCAGTTGCATTTAGCGTCCTGCTTGCAAAATATAAAGGCAAATCCTTGCCTTCAACATCCTGCGACAATACCACGCTTATAACCTCATTACTCGCATCTGTCGTCAATGCGAATTGTTCTTTAAAATCGCGATAACTAAGAATTGATGTGCTAGTCACTGTCTCTTTAAGCTTATCCATTGACTCTTGACATTTATTGTTTCATTGAAATTTCTTTGCTTTTAGAGGTGATATTGCTTTTAAACACTCTGTTTTCCCCGGATAACGTATAATACTATATGATGAACAATTGTGACATAAATATACCACCTGTTTTCTTAGAAACTGACACTTCTCTGTTTGTAACTTAAGATTACTATTCCTGATTACATATAAAACTCTCCTTAGTCTACTGTCGTGATGCCGCCAGTTACTTCTATATACGATGTTTAGATAGACAAAACAGTCTATTCCTTGTAGTCCCACTAAAACACTATTTGGACGGCATGCGTATGAACTCAAAATGTCCCATTGCTGTGATAAATGCTGTTTTTCCCATGTCCTTTTCCTCGACTAGAACCTAATGGTAACTGCTAGCCAGATCCATCGTAGAGAAATATCGGCTTCATTCCAATTGATCTAAAATATCGTCGATACGTGAAATAGGAAATACTTCCTTAATCGTAATTTCATTTAGTTTCCTAAAATCCTCTACTAATCGCAATTTCTTATTACCCTCTTTATTTTTTTGGGAAGCAATATAATAGACTAGTTCCACGGTGACGTGCTATGCTTTGCCACTATGCTTTGTTTAGCATCTTTTCAACTTGCACATTAATTTCCTTTTTATGGATTTCTAGCAGCATGTATTTCTTTATATTTGCTGGCGCCTGCGCTGGGAGAGTCGGTATTTCTTGTTTTAAAACCATGGTAAATGACAAATCATCGTTTTCCAAATGAAATATGTCATTTTATCCCTTGATGATTTTATCTAAAAATTTATTTTTCTCTCGGTTGAGATTCGTATCGGTACTGACTAATTTTTCGAATTTGCTGACAGGATAACCCCGCGTAGTAAAATTAATGTCGGATTCCTTCTTACTAAATGAATCCAAAACAAAGTATTTACTCAGCTCGGTAGAATCTTCGAAAGATTCACCCTTTGGTGTTGTGAATTGTTTGTCAGTGGGATTCAGCACTTATACCTAACCAGTTCCATCATTGAATTCAGTTAATGTGGACCGCACAAATACTTGGGGTAATATTTTATTTTTCTCTATCATTGCTACATTACCATTTAACCCCATTATGAGTTAATACGAACTGATCTGACTGTAATTGTCACATTTCTAATTGTGCAAAACTTATGGTTTTGTTAACCGCATCTAGACACGTGCAGTTCCATTGCTCACATCTCCCTAATAAACCATCCCCAGGCAAATTACTTCCTTCGAATTCAGCACTGACATTTTTTCATTTTCGTAAAAATTCACGAGGTTGTCTGCTTTGAACGGCTACTGAACGACATAGCTTGCTCAAAATTAAAAAGTTGCCCGCTGGTAGATTACAGCTGACGGCAGCGCCGTTGCATTTGGAGTAACTGCGCGGGAAATTCAAAAATTCACTGACTTATCAAACCACCCTCGTATTAATATATTTGAATCATCCGTTAAAGCATCAACGATTCTTGACTCTTTAAAATTGCTCCTCACTATTCCTATTTCTTTAACTTT